CATATTTGTCTTTTTGTTAATAAATGATGGCATTTTTGCAAAAAAAAATGAGAGAGTGACACGCTTGCAAAAATGTTCTTTGAGTGTGACATTTTTGTAAATCCTCCTACAAAAATAGAATAATTCGAACGGATTTAACCAAATGGATATTGAACACAATTGATCATAATATATCGTATTTTGTTTTGTCAAAATTTCAAACTTTTAAAGAATTTACACACAGTAATAGTAATTTGGTACAATATGTTAAAAGACAAAATTTACACTATAACATCAATAGAAATGGAAAAATTTTTAAAAATGATAAAGTTTTACTTGTTATTATGATATAAAATTGGATTCAATGATCAATTCAATTGTTTTTTTTGTTAATTGAATTATAAATGAAGTTGAAATAATATTTTTTAAAATTATTTGATTTTTTAAAAATATTTAGACACCTATAACGCGGAGAGTCCATTTGTTTAATTAATGTGATAACAATATACACAATTAAGGGTTTTTGGGCTATATAAAATAAAATAAAATAAAAACCGTCACATATATCACGCGCATATGAGGCGCGTACCATCCACGTATCTAACCATAGCCGAGGCAAAAGTCGCGCTTCTGCAAGTGCATATTTCGGCGTGTGGGGTTGATTAATTCATGGTAATCAGGTTAGCTAAAAATTTATAGCTTAATCTAAGCCGTCAACTCATCTCCTTACGTGGATCTTACTTTGTAATCCAGCGGTTATAAATGAGCCACGCCTTACAGATCTAACTAACTGTCAGGCTTTCTACTAATTGTTTTTATACGCCCTTGTATATACTATTGTTTTTATTACCTTTTCTACCTTTTTATAAGATTGTAAAATTTGAGCCACTACTTCCGAATTGGATCGTATCATTTTCCTGGACTAGAATGACAATTCCGAAAATAATTGGGGCAACAAATTAAAGAAATATAAATTAGAAGGGCATTAGAGTTAGAGGCGGCAAATGAAAATCGAATTATATTTCTCATAATCATATTATGCACATTGCAGAACAAAAAAGGAAAGAAACGTAGGATCAAGAAACCCTGAATCTCTCATCGCCACCGTCTGTCTCCGCCTCATTCCGGTCGCTGGAGAATAGTTTCCGGTGATTCCTTTCCTTTCTGTTTTCTCAGACGAAAAAAAGAAACGGAAGCGATTAAGAAGAAAGGTGCGCAATCGAGAAACCCTAAATCTCTCATCGTCACTGTTTGTCTCCGGTGATTTATTTCCTCTCTGTGTTTCTCAAATTGACACCGGTGGATTTTGGCTCAGGTCCAACAGATTGAAGCGAAATCCCCGGTGATGTATTCAAGTGAAGAAGACGGTAACTCGTCCCCGGGATTCGTAAACATGGGAGGCGCACCGCTGGATTTTGGCTCAGGTCCAATTGAAATCAAGGATTTCGTAGGAATTGAGGTCTGTAGTGACTGTGGAAGAGGTCACCATGAAGGTGGTTTAATAGCGTAAGTATTCGATTGATTATTCATCCTTTTAGTTGGATCTTTTTGTTTCCTTTTTAGGACTCAGTCTCTGTTGAATTTTGTGCAGGTCATGCGTCTCCTGTGAGACTAGAGTTAGAAGAGGTAAATTGCCTTTTATCTTTGTATATGCAATGTTGGCCTGCGACTGATACTGTGTATTCTCTGCTTATGTTTGACCTAAGTGCTTGATTAGATTCAACTTTCAGATGCAATTCCCTTTTAATTGCATTTCAAACTTTTCAGTTCAATAATTGCTTCGGTGTGTTCTGTATTTCTCATCCTGCCAAATCCCATGTTATAGGAACCATTCACAAGCTAAAATCATGGAAATTAAGAGATTAATGGGGTTGATTGGTTGATTAGAATCATTTACACACATACATATATGGTG